CCTGGCCCCGGGGGGGGGGGACAGGTCCAATCATATGACCAGAGACAGCTGGGCTGGGAGATATAAGCACAGTCTCTGGGTAGCTCCTGCTTGTGGCAGGAAGAGGAACTTGAGAGAAAGGAACTGCTGGAGGTAGATAAAGGCCCTCATGAGCCTTTATCCCAAAGGATCTGTAGGCAAGAGGGCTCTGATGAAAGGTAGGTACTGTGTACACTTTACCCCAAGGGAGGTATGAAGAAGTTGGTCTGTTCTTATTTTTGGGGTGTTTTTTTTTTTTTCTTTTGCTGTTCCATTTTGGACTTGCAAGTGTAGGACTAAGTTGTGACTACAGGGGTGGAGAAGGCTATGAGCAGGGAGGTGCCTGAGTGCATTTCCCTGCAATAGGTACCAGAAATCAGCACCAAGCTAGAGGGGCAGAGACTAGTGAGGTGAAAGTGGATGTTCAGGAAAGGGGGGCTGCCACCAAGGCAAGGCCACTACCCAAAGGCTGTAGTCTTGAGCATTTAGCCAAAGCAGAAGGTATGGTCAGAGAGAAAAAGGGGCCAAGACTGGGACAGCCAAAACTCCAGCAAGTGCTCAGAAGCCTATGTGAGCAGCCCCTTAAAGGGGAAGTACTAGAGAGAGCATAGCCCCAAGGTGGTGCTAGCCTGAGCAGGTGGACTAGGACCTGCAAGGCTACATCTGGCCCCAGGGACTGCTTCCACCAACAACCAGTAAAGCAACATCAAAGTCATGGTAAGGGAGAGACGGGGTGAGGTGGGACTGAGTAAACCAAAAAGTGGGCTAGACCACAAAGGGGATCAGGTGCCAGTGTGGTTACTCCCTCCTCTGGGTATCATATGGATATCTTTTTAAGTACACTTTAAAAAACAAACAAACATGCTACCTAAAATTAACTGTCGAACCAATTTATAGTTCCTCCACGACCTAATGCAAGTTAACCATTAGTATTTATTATTACTAAATCAGACTATAAAAAGGTATCAACTTTACATTACAAAGCAATCCTTGAAACATTTTGTATTACCTGTAATTCCCACCTCAAAGAGGTTTTATAATCTATTTGGAGAGTGAATTGTTAAGTACACTAAATATTAGCAGTAATGATTCAATAACAGAAAAATATTGGTGGTGTTCTAACAATTCACTTGATTCTATCTGAAATATAAATAGATTGACAGTTCTATTCAGAACTGTTCAGAAAGAGTTAAGTGTTTTGGAATTCAAATAAGTGTGCCAGAAGCATGTGGTTTGGTTTGTTTGTTTGTTTTTCCGGGGTTTTTTGTGTGGTTTCCCCCCCCCCCAGTAGAATGTACTGGTCCCCTCCTTTCCAATTAAATGCTGGAAGAGCTAATTTAGTACACCTGTAAGGGTGGAAACAGAGCTCAACTTTCCTTGTTTTTATGCCACCAAAACTTTTTTTTTTTGGTGAAGAGAGTGTAGACATCTGTTGCACCACAAATTGCCAAAGTTTGTGGCGGGAACAAAGACAGCAGGTCTTTTACATGGAGTGGATGTCTGTTTGCTTGGGGTGGGAGTTCTGGCTGACTGCCCATGCTTTTAGCTGCCCTGGGCAGGTGCTCTGGAAGGCTGAGGGGCCAGATCCTGCACACTTCAAGGAATTCTCAGGCAAGATCTGGCCCCTCAAGCTCCTGACTGGCTTTCTCTACTTACTGGAATGCACTGTAAGTGAAGGAATGCTGGAGTTTCCCTGCTTATGAAGATGCATCCCTGGGATCTCTTCCCCAGCATGTTTTGTTGTGTGATCTGTTTTGTTTTTTGTTTTTAAAGCAGGGAACCCTGAGCTTTCCTTGCTTAAAAAAGCATACTCCTGAGAGGCACAAGAGTCAGGGAACTTCCTGTGCCTCCACACTGCGACCACCTAAAGACACAGGTCAGTGCAAGTCCTGATGCAAAGGGGACTTCCTGGCTCCCCCACTGACCCATGCCCCCAAGTAAACCATGGCTCATTGTGGAACCTGGACCAAGGCCCAGTGTGGAGGCATGGGGCACCAAGGCAACCCCAGCTCCTGTGCCTAGACTTGCATCGATCCATGCCTTCAGGTGAAGAATTGGGGGTGGGGGGGGAGGCTGGGGCCCAGAGTGGATGCATGGGGCCTTGGGGACTCCCCAGCTCCTCCACCTCCATGCTGACCTATGCTTCATCCAGAGGGATGAGTCAGCATGCACCCTAGCAAGGAGGTGTGGGATAGTCAAGATGGGAATGAATATATCATCTCTTTTGCAGTCCTGGGCCCCTACCTGATGTGAGACACAGCAATGTGTTTCACCCAGTAAAGCAGAGCTGCTGGTCCACTTTGGCTTGGCAATGTTCACTTCTAGCCTAAGAGTATTGCACCCTGGATTCGCCTATCTGTGTGTGCAAGAGTCTTAAGCTTTACTGATGATAGTTCTTCTTTTAAAATCATCAAATCCTTCAGATGGATTAAAACGTTTCAGAAATAATGTAAGCTGAAAAAAATTTGCAACCAGGCATTTAAAGAGGAATGTGCTAAGCTGCCAGAAAAAGGAAAACTAAGACTTTCTAACCCCCCCCCGAATAAACTGGCATGTCAAATTTAAGTTCAAGTGGATTGTCTAGCCCACCATCTTTTCCTGGAATTTCCTTGAGAATCTCGGTACCCTCCACAAGCTTAACATTGAAGAAGGTGGCCTCACTCTACTTTCACTATTGTAAGCCAGATTGTGTTCTCTGGCTGATCTAGGCCAGGGCCGCTTACATCACCCCCAGTCTGTACCTGCTCTTTGTTGTCACTTTTTTTTTCTTCTTTTGTCAATTCAGAACTGAATATCATGTCCAAACTAAACAACAGCCAATTCAAATCCACATTCAATTCTATCTATACTCAGTCTCCACATCCCTCAATTCTCTTCTTTCCTCCTTTTGGAACTACTAATGCAAAACAATACGCATAGCTTGTCTATGTGTTTGGTACTCCCATCTCTCTCTCTCCCTCTCCATCTCTTACTAACAGTAGGAAAGAAACACCAGAGTTGGTGTAACGTGAGGACATTTTTCTGGAGGGAACATTGCTGGAACATGGCACACTTCAAGAAAGCCAAGTATTAGTGGGAAAGTGCAATGGGTTTTTGTTGCTGACAAACAATGGACACAAATGAAGAGCTGGGACTGTGTATAAGGCAGTACTGTGTAAACACAGCAGTTGGAATAAAGAGTTTGAAAACATAACAGCAGTTATTTACAAGACTTATGACTAATAACTTTTACAAACGTGGGTATCTGTTGCATAACAGGCAAGTGTAGAGTCACATCTCATACACTTGCATTAACTGTAAGCCAGGCATCATGTCCACAAAGTGCTACAGAGTAGGAGACTATTTTGGAAAACAGCAGCTCTGGCATCAGGTGTCACAGTATAATACTATCGCAAAAGAGAGCACTATGTGTATGAAGAGAACTGGAGGCTCTACTGCTTCAGAGACTATGGAAATCCCAGGTGATTTTGTAAGTACGCAGTAGCTGTCTCTTAACATTGCATTTTTTGGAAATGATGAATCACACCACCGTGTTAAGTATGTGAAGTTTCCTGCGAAGTTGTGTGAAGACCAACTGAGCTGATTAGAGTAACTGAAAAAGCAACACTTGATCCTGACACATGCATCACATGTGTGACTGAGCAGCAAGGGTTAATCGCATCCTCTCTCAAGAAACAGTTGCTTCTTCTAAACCCTTTTAGAGACTTTACAAAGAAATGTATGATGAAGGCTGCAGACACTGTATAGCTAGAGAAATGGCAACCTCTTGCCAATATCAGCATCTCACGAAACCTAGCAGGCAACAATCTGACTGGAGATTATTTACAGAATGGGTTCCAGAACAAGACCATGGCACTTGCTTCTTTTTCAATGGCAACTGATAAAAGCATAGATGGAAGTGAAGTTGGACAGCTCCCTGGGTTTTCTTAGAGCATCAATCAAGACATGAAATGTGACCGAGCTAATGGAGTTAGGGCTGATGAAAGGACAGGACACTTTCAACAGCACAATCACAGTTTTGGACAAATTAAGTGCAGAATGGAAGAGGACAATGAGTGTTACAATAAAGGGGGCTTGTTCCATGGTAGGAAGAAAGGCAGGATCTGTGGCAAAACTCAAGATCAAAGGGCAGTGTCAATCCAGGCCATGAGCTTTGTGCTTTTCATTACATTCTGTATCAGGAAGCCCTCTGGGCCAAAACTCTGGAAACAGAGCAGGTGATGAATGTTGTGGTCAAACAAACAGAGTGATTTTCATCCTACCCAGGCCCTCCACTATCAAGCAGTTCAACTAGCTCTTAGAGGAAGGCAACTGGACACCAGCTGAGTTGCAAGGCACTTAAAGTACTTCTTTGAACTCTGATGTGAAATTAAACAATTTATTAATGAAAGACACCCACAGCTGACCTGCAAGATGAAAAGAGGTTGCAGGACCTTTTTTTTTTGTTTGACATAAAGGGGCAAATCAATACCCTGACCATGGGAATGCTGGGTCAGAACAGCTGTGACTGAATTTCATAACACTATGTCTATGAAAGGAAGCTCTCTCTTTGGGAAAACCAGCTCAGCGCAACATAACACATCTTCCCACCTTGAAGTCACTGTACAATGCCACTGGGATTGAAGAGATGGTGAGGGATTGGAAGAGCATATGGTCAAGATTGCTGATCTGTGTTAAATTCCATGATAAGTTCTTTGACTTTCTGGCTCCATAAGGAGTTGATATTTTTTTTCAGGACCCTGTTCTCTGCCCTGTGGAACACAGCCGCCTTCAGGAGCTGCATATGGAACTCTGTGAACTTCACTGTAATACCACACTAAAGGATAAGTTCTCAACCATTAGGATTCATGGATTTTTACCAATACCTGGGAGAAATCTATCCAGCAATAAAATGCTTTGCATCAAGAATGTTAATCCACATACATGAGCACATATGCCTGTGAGACTAGATGGTCTCAGTGACTAACATCAAGTCAAAACTATGCTCAGGACTCCACAACAAACACTTGAACATCATCCTAAAAGTGGCTTTGGTACAGCCCTTGGAAGCAGACATCAGAGAGCTGGCTGTAAAAGTGTCCAAGAGCAGCACTAGCAGCCTGTGATATATATCAGCATGGGAAGGGGGAAAAAAAAGGGGGGTTTCGGGCTTTGTTTATTTTAATGTTGAATTCGTCTTTGTTTTCACTTTCCTGGCAAGTGCTATGGCAAACAGTTTTTGAAAATAAATCTTTTTTTCATGCCTTTTGGAGGCCTGGTTGTTTGTGATGTGCCAACTTATGAATGTACGAAAACAATGTAAACTAAGCTGAGGGAGTAAATGAGTTTTGGAGAAGAATGATGTGAGGGGTCCATAGGCACCTGCAAGGCAGAGAATATTGCCAGACAACAAATTTGAGTTTGACAACTCTAGCTTCATTGACAAAAGCAACTACTGATACAGTATATTAGCTTTTAACCAAAAATTGGAGAAATCCATTCATCTGGAATTAACATGGCCTTGGGTGAATTTTTTTAAAAACTCTCTCTTTTTTTTTAAGACCTCATAATGTAGTTAACAGGTAGACAAAGCAGCAGTGACAAACAATGACAGATATAGTTAGAGTAGGAGACATTTTTAGAGAATACAGCAGCTCAGAAAAGTCAGATGCCACAGTGTAGTACTATCAAAACAGGGACTTTTTTTTAGATGCATATGTTAAACCAAGTATCATGTCCAAATTAAGCAATACCCAACCCAAATCCATATGTCTTACTAAGAATTCCCATGTCTTACTCTTTTTCTACTGGGACAGCATATCTGCAACTCCCAGACCAAAAGTCCAAAAAACTCGTATGTCTCCAATATGCTTCATCTTGGCCATAAGGCCAAGAAGTGACAGCAGGTAGGACAAGGAGAAAGCTTAAGTAAATGAAAAAAAGAGTATTGACAAGATATGGAAGTGATGTTGTCTTTGTACAAGCCTCTTTGCTCTCATGGACAGATGTAAGGAGAGGGGGGTGCAGTAACGTATGCCTTGACAATGTGGCACATGCAGTGAGATCTCCAAGCTCATCAACAAGGCTGCAGAAGACTGCCTTGGCAGAGCTCTGGAACCCAAGGGCTGAACACAGCTGCCACTTACCCTTCCCAATCACTTGCCCAGCACCTAATTTGCCAGCAGAGGAAAAGAGAGAGTGAGCAGTAGTGGTCTTCAAACCCTGAATCCTGGCACCACACCAAGACAGTTTTCAGCAGCCATGCTAACAAGCCAAAAAGCTCAGAGCTCACAGGGCATGTATTGCACAGCCAAGGCAGAGTGCAGTTGCACCCAACCCCTGCAACCTGCCCATAGCTGCTCTGTACCTTTGGACTTGCTGTGGATTTTGTGTACCTCCACTTTCTGCTAAAAAATATAGCGCTTGTGGATCACTTAAATTATGCCTGATTTGGCAGCCGACTCTCTGAATCCAAATAAAATAATGAGAACCATTAATCTCTCTGAATCAAATTAGAACCCAACTCGATTCGGAGAGATTCAATGATTCTGACAGACACAGCTTTAAGAGTTTTTTCTACATAACTCAAGGTACCACGTGGCTCGTGAACGCGGAGATGCTGGGGTGGACAGAGGGTCCCACAGGAGGGTGGGGGGGGGG